AACATCAAGAAATGGTTAGATATTCTAGTCTTCTCGGATAGGGACGAATAAATGGAGGTCTCGTCTCCTGCAGGGTTGGGGGTTGGAGACGTTAATTTCCCACGCACGAGATTACTGTGTGATGGATGTCCTCCCATGGGGTGAGTTAGTAATTGGCGCAAGCTGTTGCGGTGTCCCTGCCGGTTGGCGAAGACAATAAACTAACTAAACTAAACTATTCGGGTAGATTTTAAAACGATTCTCTCTGTCACTTAATCCAAAAATTAAAGAAATAAGAACAAAATTTTTCTTATTTCAATAAACAGTGGCACTAGTCGAGAAAGTCGCCACAAATTGTACCTGATTGTTGCGTTGGAGCAGCGAAGGTGAACCCGCCAGACGAAGCAGTTGAACCCGAAGCAGGAGTAGTTCCTGCGGGTGCCCCAAAATTGAATCCTCCCGTACTTTGTGCAGGCTGAGGAGCTCCAAATATACCTCCAGGCTTATTCTGCTGGTTTTGTTGGGGAAACATCTCAATTTCCAAGATTAAACTTGTTTTCTTCTTCGGTTTACTTTATACGGAGCACGTTGCCCGCCATTACGGAAGTGGAAGCGAGGTTACTAAGCATGCAAAGTATGGGAGTTACTACATCACGGGATATCACGGGCGACGAGTGGGGCAAGAAAAGTGGTACGACATATGAGTGGTCAGCGGTTTTAAAAATAGCTTTAATAAATCATGTAGGGACAAATCATTTGTAGTTGTTTTATTAAATAATCGTAGTATCAATCCCGAAATGTTAACAATAATCTTTGCTAAATAACAAGTTAAGGAATTTTTCAAAAGCGCCGACTATACAAATATCTTTCACTGCTCTAATAAGCAACGGAGGCATCGAGATTCGGGAAAAAAAATGATATTTTTGTTTGGTAACTTGCCACGCGACGAAAAGAAAGTATCGTGACTTCGGTTGTCCAAGGCGGTAATCACAGCTGGCGTGCTTTTCAGTTGATTTTTGTAATCTCTACTTTTTAGTCCGGGAAATGAAAGCTAGGGAACTCTACAAAAATTGAGTTCTCGATCTGAATGATTTTTGAGTCCGGTATAAGTTTGTATCCAAAGGCTAAGATGAAAAACTTTCATAACAAAAATTCTACTAACTGTAGTTCTCTTACTTCATATTACTATAAACAATCGTCTCCATTCCATGTGAAAATATGCAAGGAGGAAAACTCAGAGCTTCCAGTGTTTACCATCCCTCAAATGTTTCTAATAAAGGCCGCTCGTTTTAGGAGACCTTTTCTCAAGACAACCGTATGTTAAAATAATTATGTTTTGTAGCAAAGTTTATTGTTAACATTTCGGGATTGATAGTACGATTATTTAATACAACAACTACAAATGATTTGTCTCTACATGATTTATTAAAGCTATTTCACCGCCGGACCACTCATATCTCCGGACCATTTTTCTTGCTTCGCTCGTCGCCCGTGATGTTGTAACTCCCCAAGGTATGCCTGGCCGTCCCACTGTACGCGAATGGAGTGGTGAAAAA